AATAATACCTGTACCTGTACTAATAATACCTGTACCTGTACTAATAATACCTGTACCTGTATTAATAAATCCTGTAATGTACTAATAATACATGTGCCTGTACTAATAATACCTGTACCTGTACTAATAATACCTGTACCTGTACGTACTACTAATACATGTACCTGTACTAATAATATCTGTACCTGTACTAATAATATATGTGCCTGTACTAATAATACCTGTGCCTGTACTAATAATACCTATACCTGTACTAATAATACATGTGCCTGTACTAATAATACCTGTACCTGTACTAATAATACCTGTACTAATAAATCCTGTACATGTACTAATAATACATGTGCCTGTACTAATAATACCTGTACCTGTACTAATAATACCTGTACCTGTACTAATAATACCTGTACCTGTACTAATAATACCTGTACCTGTACTAATAATACCAAGTACAGATATTATTAGTACAGGTACAGGTATTATTAGTGCAAGTACAGGTATTGTAAGTACAGGTACAGGTATTGTTAGTACAGGTACAGGTATTATTAGTACAAGTACAGGTATTATTAGTACAGGTACAGGTATTATTAGTACAGGTACATGCAGGTATTATTAGTACAAGTACAGATATTGTAAGTACAGGTATAGGTATTGTTAGTCCAGGTACAGGTATTATTAGTACAAGTACAGATATTATTAGTACAAGTACAGGTATTATTAGTACAGGTACAGGTATTATTAGTACAGGTACCGGTATTATTAGTACAGGTATAGGTATTATTAGTACAGATACAGGTATTATTAGTACAGGTATAGGTATTATTTTTACAGGTACAGGTATTATTAGTACAGACACAGGTATTATTAGTACAGGCACAGGTATTATTAGTACAGGTAAAGGTATTATTACAAGTACAGGTATTATTAGTACAGGTACAGGTATTATTAGTACAGGTACAGGTATTATTAGTACACCGTATAGTACTAATAATACCTGTACCTGTACTAATAATACCTGTACTGTACTAATAATACCTGTACCTGTACTAATATTACTTGTTCTTGTACTAATAATACCTGTACATGTACTAATAACACCTGTACCTTTTCTAACAATACCTGTACCTGTACTTACAATACCTGTACTTGTACTAATAATNATAATACCTGTACCTGTACTAATAAATCCTGTACCTGTACTAATAATACCTGTACCTGTACTAATAATACCTGTACCTGTACTAATAATACCTGTACCTGTACTAATAAATCCTGTACCTGTACTAATAATACCTGTACCTGTTCTAATAAATCCTGTACCTGTACTAATAATACCTGTACCTGTACTAATAAATCCTATACCTGTATTAATAATACATGTATCTGTACTAATAATACCTGTACCTGTACTAATAATACCTGTACCTGTACTAATAAATCCTGTACCTGTACTAATAATACCTGTACCTGTACTAATAATACCTGTACCTGTACTAATAATACCTGTAACTGTACTCATAATACTTGTACCTGTACTAATAATACCTGTATCTGTACTAATAATACCTTTCTTAGTGCAGTTTGGTTTTAAAGCAAAGGAGGACAGAGTTTGTTATTATCCGATCGAAGTTTAATTTAGTTCTATAGACGTTTGAACAATAATTAGTCTGGGGAAGACGGTGCAGTTTTGTTTTAGAACAAAGGAGGACAGAGTTTGTTGTTCTCAGATCGAGGTTTAGGCCCAGTGCGTGCAATGTTCGCGCGGCAGCATGAACGCGATTACATGAGCTGCGCCGACCAATCACACAATTAACTGCGCCTGAAAAAGTCATGGTAAGCTTTTCGTCTACGCTATCAGAGAGATTGAATATAAATATTATAGCACGCCCTAATCAAATAATAATCATGTGCATCCGGCACGAAATTGCATAGCTCAAAAATCACGTCCCAGTAAGTGAGTGCACATTTTTTGGCTGTAATTTTATTTAATGTTTATATTATACCATATATTATACCAAAAGATGTACACGCAGTAATAACTGATCATGACAATCACGGGTGTAAGCAGATTCGATCATTTAACGCTAAACATCAATACACAGGATTCCATGTACCGTATACGCGTGACGAATTCATTTTCGTTGCAGTATTGATAAAATATGCGGTCTGGAAACACTAATTCGTCTTATGAGATTTGAGTAAAGTTTATTCAGTAATGTAACAGGGTCAATCAGGTAGAACCTTGTACGTCGGACCAGACTGTCCACTACCACAGCGATTAGTTAATAGCAATAAACCGAAAAGATTGCCAAAATATAACTACAGTATTACATCTTAGCAGGAATAATAGAATCTCTATTAATTATTTCGAATTAATCTTTAATTATCTCTAATTAATCTCTATTAATAGAGATCTCTATTATTCACTCCTGATCTTAGTGTGGCTATACGCCATGCGCGATGTGTGTGTGTGTGTGTGTGTGTGTGTGTGTGTGTGTGCGTGCGTATACGTTTGGAGTAATCACTAGAGCTTATCATGCGCACACTCAACCTGACGGCATTAAAGTCAGAAGAAATTTTAGTTCCGACTTTCCGAGTTTTCGTGCACCACAGATACTGATCATTGGCACTAATTTCGCGGGACCGCCATGAAAGGCGGGTGTGTTTGAGAGCGAGCGCGGTAGGCTGCTATAGCTGGTCTCTTCCCAGAACCCCAGTACCGCTCCATCAGTCCGACAAATGTGAGTCTCTCCAGCAAGATGCAGAGAATGATGTCAGCCGGGGTCACGTGCTCGCAGCACAACCACCAGGTGGCGCGTTCTGAAGCACAATCACAATATTTTGAACACCAGCGTTGTAAAAAACTCTCTTACTATTTCTAAAACACACGCGCACATAAACGTACGCGCACGCGCGCACGCACGCGCGCGAACACACACACATATGTAATATATATGTAATATATATATATATATATATATATATATATATATATATATATATACTATATAACCATATATACTAATATAAAAAAGCATGGTGTAGAGAATACAGAACAAACTACAAGGTTACATATGATTGAGAGTGTTATATAGTATGATAGATATCTACTTGCCAAGTATCGTAAAGTTAATGCTAGGCTGTAGTTTAAGACTGGGAAATTTCGTATCCGTAACCTTAGGATATTTCTTCGTCAACGGTTTACGAGTCGAAGTTAATGTTAAGACTAATGTTGAGACTAATTTTGTTTCTGATAAAGGGCCCAGGGCCGGTAAAGACTCTGTATACTGCACTCTGTAATAAAGCTGTGTCTAGTAGACGAACCTTCTGAATGCGATATCAGTTGGTTCTCTATTTCGTCGAATAATGGCTCTAGATTTTCCAAATGTCTTGGAAACCGTCTCTCATTAGCGAACTTCGACGAGCAGTTCAGACAACTGCCAACATGAATCATGTGCTAGCTTTAATTATATGTGATGCGACGTACCATCATAGACTAAGAATAACTCTTAAGGATAATAACTAATAATAATTCTTAGTCTATGGTAACACCAATCTGTGATGTGAAGAAAAACAAGTGACATGCATCTATTTATCTATACGTCGGCCACCAAATAGAGCGATTAGTGATGCAGTGATGCAGCGCCCTCGTGCGAATAATATTTAAAAATAGCAACAAAAAGTTAGTAAAAAAGTTAGGGTGAAGGAAAACGATTGTTATTTACACATTTATACGTGGTCCCACCTGTCGACCGATCAGTGACAGTAATCGCTAATCACTAGTGTAATGGCGCGTGGATAATGCTTCAAGATGCATGTATACATGTATGTATACCTTCGCTTTTTTCCTCTCGCACTGCTCCTTAAGCTCGGGATGTTTCTTCATAAACGATTCCATGTGTGGCAGCCGGGCCAAATACATGACTATCAAAAATAAATGCAGTGGCAAGTGAATAAAAGCATATGACTTGATGCTGTAGACATTTCAGTAAAACTTGCAAATTATAGGAACTCTTATATAAGAATCTACCACTCTCCGCTGCAATGGAATCAATAGCATGCTTAGTCCACGTGTGATTATAAGCACGTAATAAAGTTGTGGATGATATTGTTATAGATATCAATAATTATATCGATGTAGATGAAAGCTACGATTACAATTTTTCAACGCCATGTTCACCAGGAGTACATTAATGTTATGTTATATTATATACGTATATTATATTATACATAATTATATATATATAATTATATATATATATATATATATGTATATAATATAACATATCATTAATGTACTCGTCCTCACCGCGAACGACGCGGGTGCATGCTGCTGCTTAATCAATGATCGGTTATCAATATCAATTTAATCAATAATAGGTTATCAATATCAATGGCACATATTATTACCTTTGCCGTCCTCCATTATGGATTCCGTTGCTCGAGGGTTCTGACCTAGGTGTCGATTAAAGAACAAACCGAATGTGATTCTTTCTACAGGCACGGCGGACAGTTCCTCACGGAAATGCTTTGCCAGTGCGGCAGCTTCGGATCCCTCAACAGGGAACAAGTCTGGCGTATCTCCTGCAAAGATAGACGAAATGATTTGCGTTTTCGTGTAATCTCGCACAGAGATGCATGCTAGTAATTCAGATTTAGAAAGCGGGTTGATGGAGGGAGCGAAATAAAAACCACCGGGTGTATCCCATGGCAACAGCATTCCACGCACCTCCTGAGAAATGTTTCTCCAGGTAGTCAATGATGCATGGAGAGTCAGTGATGATCGTGTCTCCATGCTGCAGGGCAGGTACCTCACTCATCAGGTTAATCTTCATGTACCATGGCTCGTACTGCTCAAGACCCAGTAGGTCCACGACTACATTCTCACACGACAGTTTCTTCTCTTCTAGCGCAAACAGGACCTGTGTGTTGCCGAAGGTAACCACAGTAACATAACTATAGTAACGTAGGCATGTAGGTTTATTGTTTAGATATAGGTTTATCAAATATTCTACTGTTCGCTGTTAGATTTATCTATTTAATTTATTTTACATTTATCAATCAATTTCAACCATCCTTTCATCCGATCGTCCGTTCGTCCTCCCGTCCATCGATTTATATTAGCTTGCCCCTTTGCCGAACCTACAGACCCCTTCTAATTCTTAGGTCCGGCCAGGTTCCGTGTCCTAGATCGTTTCACTTAATCCCACCTTCACGAATTGCTTTCGGAATATCAAATAAAGCTAAGATACGGGCTAAGTAAATAAGCTGTTAGCAGTAATATTTACTCGGACAGATTCATAATACAGATAGTACAACATACTGGGGCTGAGAGGGTCTATGTCCCCCAGGGTACTGCTGGAACGTACCCTGGTACTATCTAATATGCCGGACCGTACCTCGCCTACTCCCTAAACGAGTCAAGAGTCAACTCCTACACTAACGAGTCAAGGGAGTCGCCTACGCCTACTCCCTAACCCTAACCATATTAGATAGTTACCAGGATACGTTCCGGTATACCGGACCGTACCCAGTGTACGTTCCGGCAGTACCCTGGGGGACATAGACCCTATGAGCCATACTTCGTGCAATTAATTCGACCGGGTGCGTAAATTATATGTAGTACCTGCTGAGAGTAGAATGACATCGGATGCATATACAGCTTGAGCTGTAGACAGGCACTCTGGTCACTCATCCTTACTGCAGCACAGCCACTGGTAACTTAATTGCCGCCTCCGGCGATTACGACGTCTCTAATAATGATAATACCAATTACCAATACCAATACCAATACTAATACCAATACTAATACCAATACCAATGATAGAAACAGTAAACGTAACGACACGGCTACTACTACTGCAGGAGCGCTTGTAGACACGCACAAGGGCTCGTCACCAACTGTGATGACGTGTGCAACACGGCGATAAAGCACACGATTACCTTGGCACCAAAAAGTTGGGACTACTTACTTTTTCGGTATGCCCGTCGGTAGAGGAAAAGCATAGGAAGACAAATAAGCACGCACAAACCCACACAAGTACACTAAAGCCCGCATACACTCTGCACAGTAAAAGCAGGTTGTGTTTTACAGCAAATATATTCATTATTTACATTAGTACTCATAATTTACCCAATTAATAGTAAAGAGACACGAGGACTTCAACATGAACATTCGCTCACTAGATTTCCTACAATATATATATTCGTGCTGAATCCTAAAATCGGTGGATTATTAATAAAATAGGCGGGATAAACGAATTCAAATAGTGGTGTGTACGCAAGGCCCAGATCAGATAGAGCGAATCAACGGGATAAAGCGAATCACAAATTACGTCGATATAACATAACATTTATTTCAAAATGAAATATAAGGACAACAGCAACATCACGACGATTGATATCAATGAGATATCTGCGTGACGTGGCTGAGTGCATTATAGATACAAATGCAAACAAATGCATAAACAACGACACGCAATAGACAGATCTACATTACAAAAATATGTACGTCTCAGTTTCAAGCAATTAACCCATATGCGAGGCCTCGCGCCCCCCGGTCCTCTATTTACGCGATGATAAAGTGGCGCCATCTGTTAGTTAAAGACGAACGAAAAGATCAGCTAAACACGAATTGTTGAAGGAAAGCCATGGTAATTGTAGGAAGATAGTTAATGCGAAATAAAGACGCAAATGTATTTATCCCGAGTAGTACACACTTGCTTCTCATCAACGACTAGTCAGCCAGGCATCGTAAATTACGTAGTAATGGTAGGAGCTGCCCAACTGACCGCACTCTCTTTATATATAGTATAATACCCGTTAATTTGTTTGCACTTTTGAAATAGAAACCACGAACAGAGCCGCCAGAAACCTATCCTTGAAACTACTCAAATTATTATGCCCAACGAACCGATAACCGAGCCGAGACGAATCCGCAAGTATGAGATATTGTACGGGCCCTAGTAGCTTGACCACTGACGGTATTGCTGTGTACGAGCTTGGTGGTATATATACGTCATATATATAATCTATACTAACGGTAAATAAAATACACTATATATATATCTAATTATCAGAGCTCCGCTATAATAGAGTACATCTATTCACCTTTTATTGGTTCCACGCAGCTCATTGATTTACACACTCCGTAATATAATATTAGTATCAGCTCCAGACTCCGAGTGCTGTTCGATAAAAACTTTGTGGCACATTGTAAGGCCACCAATTACCACACTTTCAATGCGGTCCCGCATCGGTGCATTGACTTGATACGCAGCGGTACCCGGCTGACGCCGGGTGTTCCGGCCATGGCCACACAGGGGCCGGATGCGTGATATTTTCCTAGGCGCAATCAATGAAACCTATAGGCTGAGTGGAGGCGCTGGCTTATTCGGTTGAGCATTCTGGTTTCCACTACAATGATCGTCACAGTGATCTGGCCAAATAATACATAGCACATTCAAAATTTTAGTTTCAATATTCTCACTAGGTCATCGCGGCAGAGAGGCATGCGTCAAGTATTAACGCTCGGTGTATCGAATCACAACATCTGTTTCTCAAATCAATTTTTCCTGCTGCTGTTCCTGTAATTTTCTATCTTATTCGTCTGAATCAGTTCTTGTTTTCCGTAAGATTAACAGAAATGATTTTAACCATGACATTTACTTACACACATTTTAATAACCAAATTATAATTTTTACAACAAAAAATTAAAGTTTTTTATTATATATTTATAAAAATAGGATTTGAGGGATTAGGGTTAGGGTTAGGGTTAGGGTTAGGGTTAGGGTTAGGGTTAGGGTCACAATGCAGTGAATGCACCATAAAACAGGAGTTTGAGGCACGTGATTTGTATCAACCAATGGCAGCGCTCGCTAGAGCCCTATGTTCTTGATTGACCTAGGAAAAAAATACACGCGGCCGGTAGCGTTCCAATCACTGATCTCTTTAAGAGATCATAGAGATTATAGAGATAGAGATCATAGAGATAGAGATTATAGAGATCAGTGGTTCCAATGCAAACGCATACAGTACACAATCGATCGTATGACACTGTGGCTCGATTTTTTGAAGGTGGAGGAGCAAGCATAATAATTTATTATACTGTACTGAGTGTACACTGTAGTAAGTTTTGCACTTTATTTGCGGCACTATAGTCTGTATTTTATTATAATAAATCTTATAATAATTCAAGAGTGAGATCTTCAAATATTACTGTGGAACAAACTTTTAAATTGGAATAAATTTCAATAATTCGCACAGCGAAATTTGGTTGTTGACTAGTTGTTTGAAAAAAGTCATATATTATAATGACAAACCCCTCCCCCCCCCAAAAAAAAAAAATTCAGAACACTTTTTTTTGCAGAAATAGAAAGAAGGACACCTCAAGTATAATTAATTATAAAATTAGGCTGATATATTAAGCGGTTTATTTGATGTGATTTTTTTAAACGCATATACATGAAATTTGCTTCGTTGCCAAAAAGTATTCAGCACACAGGGGCAAACATGTAAAAAAGTATTCAGCAGTGAAAGGGTTAACCGGACGCCCAATAACAGTAAGCAGTGCTGTTAGATTAGTTCATCGACTTTGCCTAGAGTAAAAACAACCAGAAACACGTCTTATTAATAGGTGGCGCTGCACGTCAGTCAGTATAGGGTCTGTAGACACCAATGGGAGACGCGCTACCTTTAGATAGAATTCGCCATTAAGGCTTCCACATGTCCCTTGGCCGTGTGATATACCACGCACGCGCTACGATACAATCTAAACAACAAAACCCATGCTGGCAAGAATCATCGGTCCCTCATAAGTAGAACCGACATCTTTGTTGCGGCAATTATAGCCCCATTACATTTTCACGAACACACCAACAACATTAAAACTATAAATTCGAGAGAAGGCGCCCCTACACCTTGCTTCGATTATTACACGTTCATTTACAACGGATGAATTTATATAAAATTTCCACAAAAGCAATTGTATATATTTATCAACAGAAATTTTATCAATAGCGTTATTTTTACACGAAATACTCTCTATACATAGTAGCCGATTGTGTAAACATCGTTAGAACTTTATCTCACGAAATATATCTAACAGGTGGTTGTGATACACACAGTGTATCAATTAGCCACGATACCATTCAGTTTGCATTTTATAAAATAATACGTCTATACAATAAACTGTGTTGATATTAAAATGTTTTCTGTTGCGTCTATACAAACAAACAAGCTCTTTATACATGTGGTCATCACAAAAATAAAGCCATTTAGAATAGTAATAAAGAATGGCATTTGTCTGCCAATGATTTCGCGCGTGGAAACATAGAAATCCATAGTATACATATATGTTGTGCGTAGAACTAAGATCTGTGCAATCTTAAGATGACGCGGTGAAATCTTCAAACAGTGCCTCATCATCTTGGAATGGTGCAGCGTCACCTTGAGATTGCGCAAATCGCAAGACTGCTGGTAACATATATATCTACTCCACACGCACCTCATTACACACTACAGTTGTAATCGTTATCCGTTACGGTTATGAAACGCCATCTGTACGCATGCGTTCACGATCACACACACACACCCCACACACACACACATACACACATACATACATACACCACACACACACACACACACACACACACACACACACACACACACACACACACACACACACCACACACACACACACACACACACACCACACGACACACAGCACACACACCACACCACACACATAGTATACACCACACACACACACAACACACAATATATATACACACACACAACACACAGCACACACGACACACACAGCACACACACACACACACACACATACACACACACACAATACACACACACACACACAACACACCACACACACACACACACACACACACACATACAGCACACACACACACACACACACCACACACCACACTCGTACACACAAACACACACACACACACATACACAGCACACACACAACAACACACACACACACATACACACACACACACACAGCACACTCGTTACACACAAACGCACACACACACGACGCACACACACACACACACACACACACACACACACCACACCACACACACATATATACACACACACACACACACAGCACACACACACACACATACACACACACACATACCACACACGCACAACGCACACGCACACGCACACGCACACGCACACGCACACGCACACGCACAACGCAGCACGCACACGCACACGCACACGCACACACACCACACCACACACACACACACACACCACACCATTATATATACACAAAATTGCATTATTGCCAGATCAGTTGACGGATGACTGAGGATACGGCCGGAACTCTGCTTGCTGCGCCGATGAGAAGCTGCAACGTTCCTAGATAGCTTTGTGCGCAGCAATCATCCGACGCAAAGATATACAAGATCAGCTTCCTCGCCTTTGTCGTGATGTTCATCAGACGCCGATATACAAGAATCAGGCTTCCTCGCCTTTGTCGTGATGGGTCTCATATCTGGCCGCGTCATCTTGTGTGCTCGCCCTGCCACAACGCGTGCGAAAAGAACGGCGAACAGCAGGAGGGAGCGAGAGCCAAGTATCGACAGCATTCGGTCAGATGTTACTCTTCGTACGCCTCCGGAGACGTGACTGGAACCGTCGACACCCTCCTCATTGATGGTGTCATCTTTGCTTGTTAGCAGGCCGAAACAGAATCTAGAACCTATAGCA